GTGACTCGGTTGACACTAGTAGCGGTCTCGGTGAGAAATGTCCTGTGCCTCATAGATGAAACAACGTTGCAAAATACAAGTAATTGCGAGGATTACCGCCAGCCGGCAGGTAGTCTGTTTCTGTTCTTGGGTCGCAAACTGCGTCGGTTGCTTCGATTGCTTCCAGAATATCCGTAGAGCTTATTGATCTACTACTATCCCACGTGAAGACCAAGGAAGGTATCATGGCAAGGTTGCAATCCGGTAGGCATCTGCCGAGCTGGCGTCTTGGCCCATTTCACGCCGCATCGACGCATCATCGCATCGCATTGTTCGATGACATTTGATACCGATCGCGTGCTTGAATGGCTGCTCAATATTCTCCGGCATTGTTGCCAAGTGTGATGTCGACAGCAGTATGCAGCTTGTTAGCTTGTTTGGCGGCGCTCTAGAGGGTGACGTCAGAAAGGGGCCCGACTGCATACGCAGGGACAATGTTGTGGCGTCGTATGCGGTCCTGTCAGCTTCGCAGCATCTCGTCCCTGTCGAGGTTTAGCTCGCGTCCGGCTTTGGGTGCCGCCGTCATTAGAAGCAATCCTTCGCGGTGGTGCTGGCTGGGTCTCAATCTCAAAAGACCGAGCCGAACAATGAGAGGCGGCAGAGGCAGACGAGGTGGATAAGATGAGATGCCGGCGGTGGGCACTCGGGGATTTGATGGAAGTGATGCAGCTCGGAAGATGTCAGCAGTCCCACTCGACGGTCAACTGCCGCAGCCAAGCTGCCTGGAGTGCGATGTATCCATAGGGCAGTTGGATGAAAATATCAGGCGGCAGGGAGAAAAGCAAGGGAAAGAGGCCGGGCTGCGGCTGTGTCGTCAAGGTGAAACTGGATGGTGGTCGGAAAATAATTATTAGCTGGGGCCAAGAGTTCGTTCCATCCGCCTTACCGCGGGCTGGCCGTCCAGCTTGGGCGGTGAGGTGCCAAAAAGGCCAAAAAGGGGAGACAAGACCTGGCGTGTCCGGGCGGGTGATCAGGGATGACGGTCGCTGAAGCCATGCGGGATGACGCCAAAAACAGCATCCCCATCCCCTTCCCCAGCCACTTCCCTCCTTCTTTTTCTGGTGCATCTATCTTGTCATGCTGCGAAATAAAATCCATCATGCCATTTGGCGATTTTCTGAGAAGTAAGCCACGACAAAAAGAGAAGGCAAGCCACCCGAGTCCGACTTCCTCGGGACATGAGGAGGAAGGAGCAGGTCGAAACATCACAGCATGCATGGCAGGTGCCTATCGTGGATGCGCCCTCCTTCCCCTGCATCCACCTCGTGCTGTGACCCAGAGATCTACCACTTGTGCGGGGGGTTGCACCTGCCCCAGGCCGACCTGAACTTGCCGTAAAAGTCAAACTTGCCATTCACGGCAAGTGCAGCAGCAGCCCCTGCCTGCCTGTTTGCCGTGTGTTGCGCCTGCTCTTGCTTGTGTTTGCGGGTGCTTCTTTCTTCTTTCGCGTGGCAGTCACAGTCTAAGGTCGGTACCTACAAGAAACGGAAGGAAAGGGACTTGTGTGTGTCCTTCCCCATCAAACAATGGGAAACACGCAATGGGGTGCTCCTGCCATCAAATCTCCAAATTTCCCAGAGCAGGCAGCAGCATTCTGCCCTCCTTCCTTCCCTCTAGAGTGGCAGACGACAACAGTAGCGCCGCCGTTCCTCCGCCGTGTCTGCATCCTTTCCGCGCCTCCCTCGTCTTAGTCCCGCTCCGTCCTCACCTCCATCCTCACCTCCATCCTTCGACGCTATTCCCGACTTGCGAGTAGTCCTCTCGGTCTCATCCCGTCTTCGCCTCAACTCGCTTACAGCCAGGCACTACATGCACATAGACACCAGCAGCAGCAACGGGCATCAACTGCCATGTCATGTCATCCAGACCTCCCCGTCCGTCTCATCCCTGCCCACCCACTGACTTGCACCTTGCCCAACCCAGCCATGGTCCAATGACAATCCCAATGAGCCGTCCGATCCTCCAAAAGGGACTTTGGAGCTTGCACCAGGGAACCGCAGACTGATCCCTCCCTCCGTCGCACTAATGCGCAGTAACGCAACCAGGTACCGGTCGCACCAAGGACCGACCCTGCCACCGATCCAGAGGCCCAACCATGAGCTTATTTTCTTGGCTTGTCCCCTAGGTACCTCCTTAGGTGCTCAATCATGGATCACGCCTCTCCTCGTACTTAACCTACCCGTCGCCCGTCTCGTCGAAACGTCTCAGTCTGTCAACACGCTTCAAAACATCTTGTGACCGGTTACAACCCCGCCTTCGAACGCCGGACCTTCAAGTCATCACCGATTACATCCTCCGTCCATCATGCATTCAAACGGTTATCTCTCGGCGGCCATGCTCCTGGCTTCTAGTGCCGGTAAGCCCACCTTCTCCGATTTCTCCAACGGCTGCTAACGAGCCCCAGTCTACGCCGCCCCCGCGCATCAGCCCCCGGCCCTCCACGGAAGAGCAGACTTCAACATCCTCGTCGGCGGCAATGTCTCCCTCCGCATCATGCCCCTTGGCGCTTCAATCACCCACGGAGTCCAGTCTTCAGATGGCAACGGCTACCGCCAAGACCTGCGCAACGCACTCATCACAGACGGCAACCCCGTTGACATGGTTGGCAACAACCCCAACGGCACCATGGAAGACAACCAGAACGAGGGCTGGCCCGGCCTCCGCATCGAACAGGTCCTCGCCAAGGCCAAGATTTCAGTCCCCGAGACCCTGCCAAACCTCGTCCTGATCAACGCCGGCACAAACGACTGCGTTCAAAGCTACGACACCGACAACGCCGGCGCTCGCACGCTCGAAATGATGGAGTACGTCTGGTCCACATCCAGCCGTGCCTCCATCGTACTCTCCACCCTCCTGCCTAATGGCAACAACAACACCGAGGCCTGCGTCCTGAAGGTCAACGAGCAGTTCAAGAAGCTTGTCGAAGAGCAGCAGGCCAAGTCCAGAAAGGTCGTCATCGTTGACATGCACTCTGACCAAGGCCCACTGAAGAGCGACCTGGTCGACGGCACCCACCCTAATGACGCTGGCTACCAAAAGATGGCCAACCTTTGGTTCGCCGGTATCAAGGATGCCGCCTCTCGCGGATGGCTCGAATCCCCAGAGGCTCTTCCCGGCAGCACGACGTCCAGCTGACTAGATCAGATCGCGGCGCAGATGTACAAAGCCTTTCGCCCTGCGTTTGCTGGGGTTGAAAATGAGACACGATGATTCGCGTCGATGAAAAGGCATCGAAACGCGCATTCACATTATTGTAATTTACTGCATCACATACGGCGTTATCTAAAAGGGATGGGAGGGCCTCAGAAGGCTTGCGTAATTAAGTTAAATTATCATAGTAATTGCTCAAGTTCACGCTAGACGGTCGCTCATTCGTCAATTCGTGAAAGTTTACATCGGCTTTGATTCTTACCGACGGACCCTCACTATTTGGCCGAGGAAGCGTGCGGATGGACAACTTCAGATGAAATGCCGACCACTCACCAACCCAAGCCCGGCCGTTCCGTCGTCCCCATGCAACGTCTCCCGTCTTCCTTCTTCACAGGCTGCGTTTGGTGATCCTTCAGTTTTATTGAACCCGCACTCATCCATTTCATTGAACATCTCACTCCACTCAACTCACTCCATATCTCACTGCACATCTCACTCACTCAACATGTCTCGCACAGTATTCACAGCCATCTTCCTCGCCAACTTCTACCTCGCCAAGATCGCCATCAACGACCTCGGCAACGCCAACGGCCTCAATGACGTCGTCGCGAAAAGCCTCGAGGCCGAGCCCATCACCTTCACCACCGTGAGACCGCTCGACAGCCTGCTCACCATGCTGGTGCGCTTCTTCCAGCCCATCGTCCAGGGCACCGACCTGCCCCTGACGCTCTTCTCCATCTTCATGGCTGGGCAGCTTCTGGCGGTGCATATGCTCATCATCGTCGAGGGCATGCGGGCTGGGAACCGCGGCAAGATCGTTTCTTAGTGAGTCTTCACCACATCCTTTTTCATAGGAACCCGCTCAACTAACTGACCGCAACAGCACCACCGTCTGGGGAATGCTCTGGCAACTCATAACCTTCGGCGTCACCCTTCCCCTCTACTTCCTCGCCTGGCTCTGGACCTCCGAGATCCCATCCGCCGCAAGCACCTTCACCTTCGCCGACGCCATCTCCATTCCCCCCGCCGACGGCGAGACCGTCACAACCGCGTGGTCTCTCGGCGTCCTCCTCCCCAGCATCCTCGCCGGCCTGCCCCGCACCCAGTTCTTCTCCCCTTACTTCCAAGAAGCCGCCCTCGCAATCTGGCAGGCCTTCCCCCTCTGGACCGGCATCCTCCAAGCCGTCCTGCCCAAACTGACCACCGCCCCGGAAGCCCGCCTCGAGACCTCAGAGACCAAGATCGCGCGCTTCGGCAGGATATACACCTTCACCCTCGCCCTCGCGACGGCGTGCCACTATGGCGTCGTTGGCTACGTCGTGCTGAAATCCGAGGCCGCGGCGGGCGTGGCGCCGCTGGAGATGCTAGGCCAGATTCTGCGCCCGACGTGGCCGTGGAGCACCGCGCCCATGGCGAGTTTGGAGAAGGGGATTCTGGCGCTGTTGCAGTGGGATATGTACTGCGCGTCGCTGGCGACGTGGAGCTGGCTTGCGTATATGGCGTATGCGAGGGCCGGGGTGGGACAGGTTGTGATGGATCTGGGGAAGGCGGTCATGTGGAGTTGTGTGGTTGGGCCGGGGGCGGCGGCGTTGGCTGTTGTTTGGGGGAGGGATGTTGCGGCTTTGAGGGCTGCTGCTGGGAAGAAGAAGAGTGGGTGATGGTTGAGAGATGATGGCGTCTTTGATATTTTCGTGTCATGTGTCTATTAATGTAAACAGAAAACAAGAGCCAGCACCACTTTGGAGACACAACAATGTCGTTTGATTCCTGATTATCTCTCCGGGCCCTATTTGACTGGCCTCATAACTTTCCTAGCTTCTCCTTCGATTCCTTATTCGCTGGCGCATTTTCCATGCCTCCTTAATCTTGCCTTGTTTATCCAGCGTAAATGTCAAGCTTTCTATGGCCTGGATAGTACGAGTATCCTCCGGTCCTGAGAGTTTCTCCCTGACTTCTAACACCAGCCGTCTCAATGACTCTGCCTCTTCAAACTTATCTTGATCACACAGCGTCCATGACAAGCTTTCCATGGCCCGGATGGTACGAGGATCCTCTGGTCCTGAGAGTCTTTCCCTGACTACTAAATCCAGTCGATTCAACGACTCTGCCTCTTCATGCTTCCTCTGTTTGGTTAGTAAATTTGCTAAGCTTTTCATGGAATCGAGGGTTTCATGGTCCTCTAATCCTAGAACCCTCTCCTTAACCTCAAACACATGCCGCCTCAATCTCTCTGCCTGGTCATACTTCTCTTGGCGCTCAAGCGTATCTGCCACTCCTTCCGCGCTGTCAAGCGTGAACTTATTTTCGGGTCCCCGAAACTTCATGTTCCATTTAAGTACATGTCGAGACATCCGCTCTTCCTGAATGACTTTCCCTTGCTTTCTCAGTAAAAACGCCATCTGAGACAAGAGTTTTTGAATGACAAGATTCTCTGGCTCTAAGCCCCTCTCACTCAATCTAAGTGCTTTTCGATATATCTTCTCTGCCTTCCCATACTTCTGTCGCTCCACAAGGGTATCTGCGACAGAAATTAGGGATTTTATGGTCAGGCCGTCCTCTAGCCCGTATAACCTCGTTCTTAACTTCACTACCTGCCGGTACATCTGCTCTGCCTTTACGTATTGACCTTGTTCTCCAAGTGTACCTGCCAAGTTTTCCAGAGCTCTGATAGTATGAAAGTTTTTTAGTCCGGTTATTTTCATCCGTGACTGCAGTTCTCTCCGAAACATGGTTTCCGCCTCGTGGTACTTCGCTTGGTCATCCTCCACATTTAAGGCGGAATAGCCCAGGGTATTTCCTAAGTCGCGCAGACTATCGAGGACTTCTGGATCATCTGGTTCCAGTATCCCCTGTTTCAGCTCCAGTACCTCTCGATGCGTTTTCTCTGCCTCTGCGTACTTGCCAACGCATCGATAGCCGTCTCCTACTTTACGCAACAGATCCCAGAGCGCTTTCCCATTGTTTCTCAGCTTCGACATCTTCAAGACTGCTTGTGCATGTGGTACGTAGACAATCCAATCTCTCTTATCGTCTATTTTCGGCAAAGGAAACGCCACAGATAGTCGGTTGATCGTCTCTGTTATCTGCTGCTCTTCTTTGTCGTGTTCCCTCAGCCAGGTCCGCATGACCAAGCGTACCAGACGATGAACATCAAAACTTTTTGCGGAGCTTCGCTTCTGGATGAAGGCATAGGCCAGGAGTGTGTTGATTGCTTCATTAGACTGTCTGGTGTTGTCCCCAGGAGGCAACAGAGCCATTGGAATATCTTTCTCCGCGAGATAACAGATAAAACTGAGATATTTTGCTGCGAGGGGCTTATCTCGCGCAATATTCTCAAAAGAAATCAGCCATGTCGTAGCGACTGGGTTCTGAATAATTTGGTATCGATCCTGGTCGTCGAAATCTTCGCTGAGTAACGCGATCTGTTCCTCGTCGCTTGTGTCGCAGTATTCCAAGTACTGGGATACTGATGTGGCCTGGTTGGCTCTCAAATAAGCAGATGCTTGCCGGATGGCCAACGGCAGATGCGCGAGCCGTACGAGGAGCTGAGTCGTGCTTTGCCCCTGGTCGATCTGGCTCTCATCCAAGCCACTGTGTAAGAGCTTTACACCTTCTTCGGCATCCATCTTGGAAAGGTTGATGGCAACTGTACGGTCATATCTCGCAGCGACAATGTTGTTACGAGTTGTGAGCAGGACAGAGCCTTTGCGACTTGTGGGGATGTATGACGCAAGCCCTGACTTAGTGAAGACCAAGTCGATGTCGTCAGCATTGTCGATAATAAGAAGCCAGTTGTTGATGTCGCCCCGTTCCAAGGCATCTTTAACCAGGGTTTTGATGTTTGCTTCAGCTCCGTCAATGCCTTTGAGCTGGAGTGCTTGGCCAATCTTGCGGTAATGGTTGTCAAACATGGCAGTGTTTACTGCCGGCACCCAGAACACGGAGCAGTCAGGGTGCGCGCGGCGAACGCGGTACGCAGCTTCAATGGCAACTTGTGTCTTCCCAATTCCGCCGAGGCCAATAATGGCAGTCCTTTGGCAAGCGTCTTCGTCGGCGCTCGGTGGAATTCTCTTGAGGAGCTTCGTCAAAATGTCGTCTCTGCCGACAAAATGCTTGTTTCTACCGAATGGGACAATGAAGTGGGGTTGATGAAGGGCTGATATACGTTAGAGTTCTGTCAACTAACAGCCTAAATGCTCTCTACTTACGATTCTCGACTACGTTTTCGGCGTTTGACACTGTCGATGGGATAGTGCATAGCAATTCCTTGGCCAACGCTGCCGCTGTCGCTGCCGCATACGGCTGCCATTGCTTGTTCTTGTGCGCATCCGCATAGTCACAGATGCCGCGGATGACAAGACAGGGAAAGTTGTTCATCAGGCCGGCTGCCTCCATCTCGAAGCATAAAACTCCCCCCAACTCTTGACTATGTTTGTCACGCGTCGGCCCGTCCTTCATGACCTGGTTCCCGGATGCGATGTTGCCAAAGAAAAGAGCAGGAGCCGTTATTTTGCGTTGTTCCCTTTCCACGACATCCTCACGACGACGTTTCTTGCTTCTCGCTCTGGAGACGTTTTGCGATACGGCTTCGTAAAGAACATCGTTATCGGGGCCCGGTGACGCGAACTTTGGCTTGCTTGATAGTAGCTCCAACAGGTACTCGTTAATCTTTGTCTTGTCCAGAATATCATTAGCCCGAAGGTGAGACAAGGCGTTGAGGAGGATGGTCGGCGGCGCGTTGAGGCTTCCAATCCGGGCAATACGACCGTCAGCGCCGGTCTTGCCGAAGTCATACTGTATCACTCCGCCGTACTGGCCTGAGGGCTGACTGATGACAACGTCGCCGAGACGGATATCGACGTCATCTTCGAGATTTGGCACGCCGCCGCCGATGCCGACGAGCAAGCCGAACCGTAGCGACTCAAAGCTACTCCTCATCTGGCTCGCCACCGTGGCCGCCGAGTTCGTGCCCATCTGGCCCGCGGGCAGACATGCGACGACGATGTTGTGAACTCCGATCCGACCGTAGGTATACCTGTTGGAATCGTTCGGACGAGAATCTAGTTGCGCATACTCTTCGTCCATCATCCCGCTAGCAGCTGCCAACTCGATCGGCAGAGCGCACACCCAGCCGATCGTGAAGTCGCTCGCAGGAACACATTTTGCAGCCATGAAATGCAAGATTTGGATAGGTATGAGGTGCCATATATTGGCAAGATGTCGTGAGTTGTGAAGTTTGTTTGTCGAGAGATGACAACGGGAGGTTCCTTGCTCAGCCTGATCCTGAGGGGTAAGCAATGATGCGTCAATTTGAGACCAACCACTTTCCACGACGGGCGGTGTTGTGGACCCATGGTAAGCATGCTCTACCGACCAATGAGTGCTCGTCGCCCAGAGAGAGCCTTGTCCGTCATTTTATAAATAAGTTCGCCAAAGACCAGTTGTCTGGTCTTGCGGGAAAGGCGCCTGTTGATTGAAGGCATTGTTCTACCAAGCGGACAGAAAGTACCTCGCAGTGTCTCCCGCTGTCGCTGCACTAAGTAAATGCCATTCTTTCACTGGATCGCAGTCCATGGACCAGGTTTTCAACCTCAAATGGGGCAGAACTGATCCCGACTGGGTGCTGTGTGGCGGGATCGTACAGCCAAATCTCAAATGACACGTTCAGCGCCAAGTATGAACGACATGTTGGTCCCGGGCAAAATCAGCGATTGGCTACGATCTTCACGGCCTCAAAGCTGTTGATTCAAGAGAAACAGCGTCGTGGTTGGTTCAGGACACATATTTTAAACACTCTCAGATCGTCATCTGATAGGAAGAAATGTTGAGGCTTCTAGTGTATACAGTACTGCTGAGAACACAGAAGGCAAGTATCAAATGTAGGATGATTTTGAGCCCAGAGCAAAAACTGTGCTACAGAGCCTAGACTCAAATTTAGGCAAGCAATAAACAAAAGATTACTTCAAATAACAGAAATGAAAATTTCTAAGAAGTATGAGAAACTGTTAACCTATTTTCTATTGCATGGTTAAACGAAATCAGTATCGACAATTCCACTAAATTCTTTCTTTCTTCCCTTCTAACTTTTCTTCTTCGCAGTTTGCCGCCTGGAGGCGCACCTTATTAACTACTATATAACTCTTATAGGGAAATATTTGAGGGCTAGGATAGCTTAGGCTTTATAGAGAAACCTCTATAGCTACCTATAGGGGTATATAAAGAGAGCGCGAATCGCTAGGGGGTAGGTATCTCCCTCTTTATATTACTATAACTTATTACTCCTTTAATATTAAGATATTATCACTATACTACGTTAATTATTAGTAACGCCAGCCCTAACGCAGCGTTAATTAAGCTGGACGCGCGTTATATAATCAGCGATTATATAAGGCGCCGCCCTCTATAATTAACGCTATGATTATAGCTACTACTATCAGATTATAGGGGTTAAGATTAGCGCTTCTTAGCTGCTAGGGGAGGCCTAGATAAATAGATAATCCGCCTAGTGAGAATAGTAAGCCCTATAAAACCTACGTATAGAGTTTTATTAGTTTTTAGGGATATATATATAATATATA